GAACTGCGAGTCTAATAGGTCACCTCTCTGCTTAAAACAGCTCAGTGGTTTTCCAGGGGAAAGCTCAAAGTCTTTAACGCGAACCGTAACCCCCAGCAGGGTCTGACTTCTTCCTGTGGCCTCTCATTGTCCCGCGCACTCCTGTGCACTCTGCTCACACTGGTCTTCTTTCAGTTCTCTAAATGCCACTGAGCCTGGCACTTCTCTGCCTGGACCACCCTTCCTTCCTCCCCTTCCCAGCAATTTCCCCTTACCTTATTAACTCTTCCCTTCCTTCCAGCTCCTCCGTCATTTCTCTTCCTGTCTTTTATGACCAGGCCAGGCCTCCTATGAAATACTCTCTGGGCGACATGCATTTCCCTTTACAACTCTTATCTTTGTTGTAAATTTACATTTAATTGAATAGTTCTTTCTATTAATATTTCTCTCCTCTCCTGGACTGCAAGCTTCAAGGGAGTAAAGACCATGTCTGTTTTTGTTCACCATTATCTTCTTAGCACCTGGAGTTGTGTGTAATACATTATAAGTGTTTGATACACATTTGTTGCAATGGAAAAGAATAAATCAAAACTTGCTCCATTCCCTCATTCTCCAGTTTATTGTCATCTTTCAACTCCAAAGAGAGCTCAGTGCTGTCTCCCCTCACTTCATCCCTGGGAAGTAGGTAAAGGACCAATGGATTACGAGGCCTCCGGCCGTAGTCCTTAGGGACAGAAATTTTTTGTGTCTACGTGGCATGGTGTCAAGCACTGGTTATTGAAACCGGGGGAATGCTCCAAACACTTTTGCCCATTATGTCTTGGTGCTGGAGTTGCAAAAAAAACAAAGACAAAAACAAAACAAAAAAATACCCCCCAAAACAAAAACAAAAACAAAACACAGTCAAGCACTGGATAGGATGACACTTTACTTACACAGAGAAGAGACAAAGCAAGATCAGCTTCAGTAGTGGGCAACGGTCCCCCATAGCCATCGGGTCTCTCCCTGCTGCTGACACAAGGTAATTGGCTCAGGCACTGCACCCCATTCATGCCTGAATGCAGTGAAAGGAACCCTGTCCCCTCCCCTTAGAGGACGGATACAACAATGGGGTTGGTCAGGTGCCATACAATGCACGTGCTCTAAGCAGAGACAAAAGAGTGCTCGTTGAGCCTGAAACAAGGAAAGGTACCCCCACACAAGGTGAGAAACCTGGCGTGGTTTGTGTGGGCTTTAGCCCTCGCCAAGGAAATGTTCCAGACGCAGGGCCCTTCGCACGTGGCTGAGTGAGGGCTGCGTGAGACTGCCTTTCCCAATGCAAGTCTTCTGGATTCTCTCTTTGTTTCCTCCTTCTGGTCTCCCTTTGGAATGTCTCTGTAGATCCTTAGGTCATCTTCTTCTTCCTTTTGTTATACGTGCCTGGGACCGGATGGAACCCAAGGAGAGGAAGCCTAAGCAGGAGACACCCTGCTTCACCAGGATCCTGCCTGTTCACTAGAAACAGGTCCTGCAGCGAGGTTTGGGGGCAGAACTTCATCAGTGAAACTCAGGGCTTTGATCCAGTCCCTTTTCTGCTGCCTCCTTTTCGGTAACCTATAGCATCCATAGAATGTTCAGGATCTCAGTCTCCTCCATATTTCATCATGGAGACAAGACTCTCATCTACACCAGGCAAGAGGTTATCCAAGTTAGTATGCTGGGGTCCTGTTCAGTTCTGATTTACCACACATCATTCACTTGCTGATTCTGTTAAGTCTCTTAGATCTGACTTCTTTCACACACAACTGAACAAACTCCTTTATTTAATCAGTAGTGTCCAGATAGTGCTCTACTGATTCATAGAGCTTTTGTACACGTGCCCCTGAGGACCACTGCAGGGGATAAAAATTGGAAAGAAGCATGCAGGCCACCAGAGCAGCATTTAAGATTTCATGTTATATGCTCTTCCTGGTGCTTTACTATGGGCCTTTAATGTTTATATATATAATATCATTCTATCTACACAACAACTCTACTGTTGTCATCTTCATTTGATGGATGAAAAAACTGAGGCAGAGAGGTTCAGCAGCTGACGTGGATACAGCTAGCAGGTGGCAGAGTTTGGCTTGGAAGTATGGTGTTCTGATTTCTGAGCCTGCCTTCTTGATTTCTAAGTCATACACTTGGCCCTTTGTATCCATGGGTCCCACATCCATGAATTCAACCAACTGTGGATTGAAAATATTTGGGAAAAAATTCCAGAAAGTCCTAAAAAGCAAAACTAGAATTTGCCACATAATGGCAACAATTTACATGGCATTTATACTGTATTAGGTATCATAAGTGATCTAGAGATGATTTAAAGTATACAGGAGGATGTATATCGGTTACATGCAAATACTACACCATTTTATATAAGGAATTTGAATATCCCTCTATTTTGGTATCTGAAGAAGTCCTGGAAATAATCGCCTGAGGTTACTGAGGGACAACTGTACTGGAGTTTAATGTGCGTTAGGGACTGTTCTAGGTGCTTTATAAGCATCATTTCATTTAATCCTCATAATGGCCCACCATGCAGTGTCACCTTCACTCTACAAATGGAGAAGTTGAAGGACAAGGAATTTGTCCACTGTCATGAAGTGGCAGAGCTGGGATTTATACTTGGATCTGCTCTGCCTGATCTGAGAGCCCACTGTCTTAGTCCCTGTGCTCTACACGTCCTCTTGTATGTGATGACTGGCTGCATGTGTGTGCTGTAGTGTGAGTTTCTTGAGGAAAGAGGACTGTGAGTTCTTCACCTTTGTCTTTCAGGAGCTTTAGCGAGGTTCTTGACACACAGTTCACGCTCAGTAAATATCAGCTGAGTTGAATGGAAGTCAGGATGTGCAAGGGGGTCCTTGGAGTTGAGAAGATCGAGGAAGTCTGAGACCAAATGATGAAAGGCTGTTTTTGTGGATGTTGAAGAGCTAGGAAGGGCAGCTGAAAACTGTCTGATGCCAAAATCATTCAGGAGGGGAGGTGGTGCTGGAGTTGTGGTAACATGCTTAGTGAGGCTGACTAATTGCCCAGGCAGAGTCACAGAGTGGCCGTGGCTCCGTGTGGTTACCATGTTTCCTGGTACAGTCTTCTGTTTTGCTGTTCCGGGAATCTTCTCTCTGTTCTCTAAAATGGTTAGGTTTTCATGTTGACACACTCAAGGCTCAAGAAGCTATTCAGTACCCAGAATACCATATAGATAAACCCAGTTACCTTGACTGGAATTTTCTTTTTTTGATTGTAATGTTATAGTCATCAGAACAAGGCAGAAGGCAAACTAGAAAAGGCAGGCGTTCACTATTCTGTTGTTTGGAGAAAATCTGTGTGAACAGAATGAGGATGGTCATCCCTGAACAACAAAGGTGACTGGCGATACCTGTCTAGACGTGTCCAAGGAAGGGAGTTTGATCTAAGCATTCTTGTTCAGATGAACTTTATAGTAAGTGCTTATTAAATGATAGTTGTTATTTTTGTTGAGACAGAAAAGATGGGGTTCTCAGGTACTCTTAACTGAAAAACACTTTTTGAGGTGACTCCTCATGTTCTGTTTTCATGCTTAGCAAATAACTCTCTCATCATTTGACTTCATATGGAGTGTTTACAGCCAGTGAAGTATTGGTCAGCTTGAGCTGATCTTAGGTTTACTTTACTAGTGTTTCTTCTTGTAATTAATACTGACAATATTGCCATTTTTGGAGCATTGCTTCTGGATACTTGTTTAAAGGGAGTCTGCCTCAGAAGACAGAATCCTTTCCCTGTGTACTACAAAATAGTGTCCTGGAAGCAAAACACTAGGGTTCAGTTCCTGGCTGGTACTATCTCTGTCACCTTGAGCATGCTATGCAATCCTTTATGCCTCAGTTTCTCTTACTTGTAAAATAGGAATAATAACAGTACCTACCTCCAAAAGTAGTTCTAAGAATGAAATGAAATAATGCACAGGGACTGGTACATAATTAACCCTCAATAAATGTTAGCACTTAAGTTCTGGTTCTTGAGCTTGCTAGGCCAGGATCAAACCCTGGAGTGTGGGGAATCATCAAGGTAAGTGCTACCTAGTCACTAAGCCTGGCTCCCCAGTGACATTTTCTGCTTGTGTATAGAATCACTTTGACATTTGAAACGAGTCACTATTACTTACATAGCCTCATACATTTACTCATTCAACGTTTCCCACAACCCTAAGAGGCAGGTACTAATATTATCCCTATTTTACAGATGAGCAAACGGAGGCATAGACAGGCTAAGTAACTTGCCTAAGTGAATAAATGGTGGATGTCACTTAGGGGACCACTTTTTATTTACTCGGTAAACCACCTCTTCTTTCTCAAAGAGAATGGGTATTTTTCAGTGAGAGAGTTTGAAAACTCATTTAGTTCCTCTCATTTGTAACAATGTTTTAAAGATACAGTTTCTGCTTTCTTTGTTAGCTTTGAATCCACCCATAAATGCATCATGTAGTTATACAACTGGGCTGCTTTCTTACTTGAATAAAATAAAACAAAACACAAGGTTGTTTGCCACCTTTTACATAGCAGGCACCACAGAACATGCCTATAATTGTGTTTTTCTCTTCCCAGTTTTCAAGATTGGCCTGTGTTTTCATGTTTCATAAAATGCCAGTTGTATAACGGCACTTTCTTCATACATTTTTATAAAGTTGAATAAACATGCACTTATTAAGCTCCTTGGGTGTTGATAATGTGCCTGGAACATCTAAAGCATTAACGCATTTCTTAGGCCTTTCAGTGTTTACAAACAGCCTTTCATAAGATGCTTACAACATATATATATATACATAACA